AAGGAGTGATTTATGTTGGAATTTCCACCATGGAATTGTTTAATCTACATCTTGACCTTTGTTAATTTCTTTTTTACATGGTGGCTGAGTCAAGGTATTCAGAGTTGAATCCTTCTCATTTGGCTCTCCATAAGAGAGTTAGATATTAAATCACATGGTACTAGGACTATACAGGTACTTATACGGGGTTCTTACAGTGGAAAGATACATATAGAGGTGACTTATACAGCAGTAGGAATTTGTACAGAGTAAGAGATAGTGTGCACATGTCTTCTCAGCAGCTCTTCTTTGGGCTAATTGGTTCCTGTTTCTCTGCACTTGCAGATTGTTGATCTTTTACTCACCCATGGAGCTGATGTCAACATGGCAGACAAGCAGGGCCGCACTCCCCTGATGATGGCTGCCTCCGAAGGCCATCTAGGAACTGTGGACTTCCTACTTGCACAAGGTTAGTCTTGGGATGCTAAAGCTGGCTGGCTAGTGCCCATAATTACCTGGTGAACTCATGATTTCCAGCAATGGTTCCCAGTAGATATGAAGAACAGATATTAATCCAGTTGGTTGGAAAATGAAATGCCATCTCCTCCCATCTTGTATTCAGTGGAACGCTTCTAACTCTGACACTATTTCTTTATGACTTGAGGAATTTAAATGAAATTAACATATTGTAAATTCTCATTCAGATCAGTAGTCTCCAAATTTTGATTTTTAAAAAATATATACTCAATAAGTGTTCATCTTCCAGGGATTGTGTTTTGACTTTAACTTTATCAATTCTTTTGTAAGCCTGCACAACTAATATTTTTCTTGAATTCAAAGGTGGCAAATTGCAGTGAAGACCCCTGCTGACTGTGGGATCCTATTTGGGGAATCAAGATTATTACCCTGTTATAATAAATTCCCTTTGACAGTTACCAACATCCACAAATTCCTGGTGAATGGGAAATAAGTTAAAGGAGACAGTGGTCACACCACCATTGTAAAGCACATCAGGCTCCCGTTGCTTGCTGTGACCTGTGCCTAACGGTGGCTGCTGATGGTGGACCTCTGTAGTAGAAAAAGCTCGTCACTGGTGACTCTGCAGTGCCATCTAGTGGAGCTTGAGCATTTGCATGAAGCAAGAGGCAGAGGCAGTCATTCCAGTTATCCTCCACTATTAGTAAATTGGACCCAAACATCTGTAATTATATCCACAAGCACATGTACTTTCCTTCAAGGAAATCAACCTCCTGAACAATGATGCCTAGGCCACAGCACCTGAGGGTAGTTTAATTAGAAAGAAATTAGGTTTCTTCTAAGATTTCAAACTACAGCTCAGTCAGAGACTTATTGGATCTTTAGCTGTATCCGTCAAGTAAGATTTGTTTCCTCAGACTCAAGGCTGGGTCAGAATCAGAGAGTTACTCTTACAGGTTGTGAAGTGGCTCTTGGTTCCCCCATATAAGCTACCAAAGAAATTTGCCTTCATGATGTCTATCTTCATTTCTACTGGGGAAGGCAGGAAAGAGGAAGGATTGCCTAGATTCTCAAGATAAGTTGTGTCAGGAGTGAATACTCCAGAACAAACCAAGTCCACTGAAAGAGGCAGGACCTCTTGAGCCACTGATAACCTTTAGATAGATAGCTGCAAAGTACCTGTCATGTGCCAGTAGAGGCTCCGTGGCCACAGATTCCAGGTATTTCTTTCATTCACCAATGGAGAGATTTTCTTCTTTGGACTGTTTCATTTTTTTCTGCACTTAAATGAGAGGCTTTCACTAAATAATGAATTCAACAAAGATTTATTTAGTCTATGTCATTAGCACAAATAGGTCCTATACTAGGAACTATGAGTAGTTCTGATTTTAATTAATGCACTATAATCTGTGCCCTCAAAGGGTCTATAATGTGGCAAGGAAGAGATAAAGATAAATACCTTAAAAAGCAGAGAATCCTGAGTGCTCTGATAAAGGGGTACTTTGAGTTAGACTAGGACAGGCTTTGAAATTTGAATAGGAAAAATGTCCTAGATTTAGGGAGAGGATGTAACATAGATGAAAGGCCAAAGAGGAGTAACAGGTTTGGCGAAATATGCGAGCTGTCTAGTAAAGTGTAAGAGTACTAGAGAAAGTAAAATTGCAAAGGTATATGGAAAGAAATGAAAAAGGACCATGTTAAAAGAACCTGGACTTAATTCTAAAAGAATCTGGGGAGGCTTTAAAATTTTTTAAATAAGGAATTGATGCCAGAGCATGCTTTAAAAACAATCACTCTGGCAGTATGTGAGCAGTAGATTTGATAAAGGAGCCAGGAGATCAGTTAGGAAGCCATTATAATGAAACAGATGAGCCATAAAGAGGTCCTAACCCAAGGACAGTAGCTTTCAGAATAGAACAGAAGGGCTATGTGCAAGAGGTGTTTTGGATATGAAGTCTGAGTAGATGTAGGAAGTAAGGATAGAAGAGTTAAAGATAACTCCAGAGTTGTAAGATGGATGTTTGGGAGAATTGTGATTTCATTAACTGCATGAGAGAGAAAAGAGGAAGATTGCAAATTGGATTTTGGAAGTATTTAACATATTATGGATTTGTTTCATATGTAACTCCTTTTCTTATCTTTGGAAAAATCAGTTTCTTTAATATACATCCAGAGCTTTCTTATCCTACTTCTTTCCACCATTGGAGACTTTGTCCAGGGAATTTATAGATGTTGCATCTGAAAAAAACTCCTTGGATTCTCTTCCATATTTAAATTTATTCCACATTAGAGTCAATGTTTTAATTGCAAACTGTACCCTTACCTAAATGGCTCTCATCAGGATTAAGGTATGGTCCCTTCCAGCTTTTCATCCTGCTGTGGGAAACCACAAACTCTACTGACTTCCAGGAATGCAAATGTGGTAGGCTAGATGACTGCTGAGTAAACCCTGAGCCTGCTGTGGCAGGTCCTAAGCTTGAGCTGACATCTGAATCCTGTCCAGCTGAGGGGGCAGCTAAGTGTCCTGGTGCAGTAAGTTGATCTCTGATGTAGTTAAATACGGCATGCCTACTGTGTGAAAAGAGTTAGGTACTCTTCAAAACTAGCAAATAAATGATAGGTTCCTTGTCATCGAAGGCCTTACAGTCTGGGCCTTAACCAAACGTATATTGGATTTTAGACTGATTACAAAGCAGCATGGCAGGTGTGCGTGATTCTTTCAAGTGAGAATAGAAACGTTGAAAGGAAACATGCACAATATGAAGGAGTGGGTGGAGAATGTAAAAAGGAAGGTGGAGTTACTGAATAAGGCTGAGGAGTTTAAACTCTGAATTTCTTGTTTGTTGTATTTGTTTTTTGTTTTTGTCTTTTTTTTTTTAGAGGCAAGGTCTCACTCCATCACCCAGGCTGGAGTTCAGTGGCCTGGTCATAGCTCACCAAAGCCTGGAACCCTGGGCTCAAGCGATCCTCCCATCTCAGCCTTCCTAGTAGCTAAGACTACAGGCTCACACCACCACAACTGGCTAATTTTTTAGTTTTGTAGAGACAGAGTCTTACCATGTTGCTCAGGCTGATCTCAGATTTCTGGCCTCAAGCAATCCTCCCCACCTCAGCCTCCCAAAGTGCTGGGATTATAGAAAGTCACTCCATGCAGCCAAATACTTAATTGACAAGTAAAAATTGTATATGCAGTTATGTGTTGCTTAATCATAGGGATATGTTCAGAGAAATGCATTCTAAGAAATGTGTCCTTAGGTGATTTTGTCATTTGTAAACATCACAGAATGCACTTACACAAACCTAGATGGTATAGCCTACTACACACCTAGGCTGCATAATATACAGCCTGTTGCTCCTAGGCTGCAAACCTGTATAGCCTATTACTGCACTGAGTTACTGTAAACACTTGTAACACAGTGTGGTGTCTGTGTAGCTAAACATGTCTAAACATAGACAAGGAACGATATTTATGCTGAACAATATTTATGGTTTATACAGGTTGTGTATCCCTTATCTGAAATACCTGGTTGTATGTTCTGTTTCAGAACCGTTTCACATTTGGGATTTTATTTTTTGCATTTTGACTATTTGCATTATACTTACTGGTTGAACATTACTAATCCAAAAATGTGAAACCCAAAATGCTGCAATGTGTATTTCCTTTGAGTTGGCGCTCAAAAAGGTTCAGATTGCGGAGTGTTTCTGATTTTAGATTTTCAGATTAGGGATACTCAAAGCTGCATACGTATACACTGTGGAATGGTTAAGCCAAGCTACTTTACGTGTGCATTACCTCACACACTTACCCATTTTTCTTCTGGTGAAAATGCTTAAATTGTACTTTCATAGCAATTTTCAGTTGTATATTATTAATAACTATCACTCTGACTATAGTTAAGAACTATAGAGTAGATTTAGTGTACTAGTTAGTAACTAATACAGTAGATCTCTTGAACTTATTTCTCCTAAGTGAATTTTGTGTCTTTGACCAACATCTCCCCAGTCCCCTCTCATCTCCTAGTTTCTGGTAACCACCATTTTACTCTGTGATTCTATGAATTTAACTTTATTAAACTCTAGATTTCTTTTGTGGCCTGAGCTCAGTGTCCTCTCCCGTGTTTATTTCCCCCACCTGTGGAGGGAGAAATGGCCTGGCACTGTGATCAGTGACAAACATGTCCTGGGCTCCTATTTGAGGAGACTGTCTCAAGGAGTTAGCACCATTATCAATGGAAAGCTTCTGCTCAGTTCAGAAGACATTCACTGAGCTCCAGTGTAGTGAGGCCAAGGCAGGCGGATCACTTGAGGTCAGGAGTTCAAGACTAGCCTGGCAAACATGGTGAAACCCCGTCTCTACTAAAAATATAAAAATTAGCCAGAGCTGGTGCTGCATGCTACTTTGGAGGCTGAGGCAGGAGGATTGATCGAACCCAGGTGGTGGAGGTTGCAGTGAGCCGAGATCGGGCCACTGCACTCCAGCCTGGGCAACAGAGCAAGAGTGCATCTCAAGGAAAAAAAAAAAAAAAAAGTAAAAAAGAAGAAAATGCTCATTGAGAATTTATTACCTGCAAATAGGATACATAAGAATAGATAAATAATGGAATAAGTTGACTTACGTTAAGCATATTTAAGATGAGGTAGCAGTGAACCATGAGAAGCTTCTTAGAGGCAGGAGGATGGAGATAGTTCCTGGAGGATGGGAGGATGGGAGGCAAGTCTTGGGAGAAGAAGAGCTCTTCCACATAGGGAGCAACGTGACCGAGAGTGAGGATGCAGGAGGATTTCTGGGAGCCTCGAGAGGCAGTGAGCACATCCATTTGGCTGAAGTAGAGGATTCTCACAGGGGAATAATAAAACTTAATTATAGAGAGTAATTGGGAATAGATTGTGGATGACCTTGAATACCCAATGAAACAACTGGAATCTGTGTTAGTGAAAGCTTGTAGGATGAACTTTTAACAGTTTTATTGAGACATAATTGGCATACCAGGATCAGTCTTAACATGGAAGTAGTCCAGAAGCAAGCGGTGTCATTTGGTGGAGCATGCCCCTTCAACACACTTCCCTGCCTGCTGTGCGTTTCCGTGTCTCCTCAGCCCTGTGCTATCACTTGCCTTTGCAGGTGCCTCCATTGCTCTCATGGACAAAGAAGGATTGACAGCCCTCAGCTGGGCTTGTTTGAAGGGCCATCTCTCAGTAGTACGTTCTCTGGTGGATAACGGAGCTGCCACAGACCATGCTGACAAGAATGGCCGTACCCCACTGGATCTGGCAGCTTTCTATGGTGATGCTGAGGTGGTGAGTTCCTTTAAACAAGCCTCGGGAGAGTAGGGAGAGGGGCTGTTCTCCATCCATACTAGCTGGGGTCGAAAGTGGAGTGAGGTATTGATGATTCCTGATACAGAGCGCTCAGATCTATACCTGCCAGAGAACAGGAACATTCAAATTGCTACTGAAGATCAAGAATGTAGCTAAGGCCTGAAATATCATGGCTCCATAGCCTGGTTCAGGCCAGCAGTCGAAGGGCAGGCAGCAGCCAGAGCCCTTGGTGGAACAGTGCTGAGCCATGCCTGTCCTAACTGCTCTGCTTGATCCGTGTCCTAGGTCCAGTTCCTGGTAGATCATGGGGCCATGATCGAGCATGTTGACTACAGTGGAATGCGCCCTTTGGATAGGGCCGTGGGGTGCCGGAACACCTCTGTGGTTGTCACTCTTCTGAAGAAAGGAGCCAAGATAGGTAGGAGAAGGGAAGAGGGTGTTGGCCATCTGTGCCCAGGGGCCAGACTGGTCCAGTGGTCTGGCTGCCCTGGGTATTTGGTGTGAGCGTATATAGTTCCCCCTCCTCCCTGGCCCAATTATTGTCCAAGTGAACAGAGAGGCTCTTAGCCCAGAGAAAGCGCCATCCAAGCCATGGTCTGCAGTCCCCTGTGTCCTGAACCACATGGTTCTCTACCATGTCCCTTGTAGCCTTAGCCAGGAGGCTGCTCTGGCCTTAAGCACCTCTCAGCACTGCCTCTGTTCCAGCCCCACCCTGTCAGCATCCTGGATCTCTGCACTGCGTGAGCCTTTGCTTTCCCTTGCTCTGAATGTGCTTCAGACTCAAGTCCCTGCTGCCGCTGTCCCAGCTGCTCCCCGAGCCCACAGACCTGTAGATGAGGGTTGGCTGATATGCTGGCTTTGTGCTGCCTGCCTCTCACTGCTGCTTTTTCCTTCTTTTTTTTTTTCACCTTCATCCATTTTTTTTTTCCTCTCCTACAACTTTTTGTTTTCTCCTTTCTTTGAAGGTTGTCAGACGTTACCGAGTCGCCCACGAGGTATATTTCACCGCTGTCAGCATCAGGCGTGGTCTGATGGCTTGGTCAGCTTTGCCTTCTCCTCTTTGGTTTAGCCTGCATGAGTTCCCTACACCTCTAATCTTTTAATTTACTTCACCTTAAAAGAAGATTTTTTTTAATGACTGTTGTAGAGAATAACTTGAACTTTTGATAACTAACCTTGAAAAGCATAGTTTGTAAATAATTCAGGCATTTGTAAACTAATCAATTTAACCTTTTCTTTCTTTTTGTGGGTAAAGTCATCCTCAGTAATGTTGGTTTGTTTCATGTCTGATTGACATTCGAACTGTGCTCCTGCTTCAAAGTGAATCCCAGGGAGTCCTAGCTGGTACTTACCATCTAAGGGAACCTTTAGAACTATTAGTGGTTTCCCTTCTGCAAAGTACATATTTTAAAGTTAAGTGGCTAAACATCTGGGGGTTTTGAGTCCCAAACCCAAAATAAATTACCCTCTTTGAACTTTTCAAATCCTGCAGTAATGCTTAATATAAATCCTTTCTCCCAATTTCCTTATTTAACATAATTCCAAACTAAGCCATTGCCTGCCCACATGCAGCATGCAGGCTTTGCTGCCCTCACGTGGGGCAGGCTCACATGGTTCCAATATTCTTATTTTAAGGTGAATACAAATCCAACACAGCTTCTTAGCAGCGGGAGTCACTAAAATACTCCCAGGTCTAAAAGATGAGGTCACGATTGTGGAGCAAGTTGTTCTCTCAGCAGAAATTCCCCCAGGGTATTTTTTTCACCTAGCTTCCTACCACCCTTACATTGTATGAGTTTTTTACCCATCATGCATCCTGTACACTACAGGTCCAGCCACATGGGCGATGGCCACCTCCAAGCCAGACATCATGATCATCCTGTTGAGCAAGCTGATGGAAGAGGGGGACATGTTTTATAAGGTGAGGGGAGGGAGGGACACAGTTTCTTCAGAACAGCCATTCACTGTTTCCTACGTGTAGAATCTTCCAAAGTCTTGATAATTCTCACCCTTGGTTGTAGAGGCAAAGGGAGAAAACTATTCCTCAGCGATGGGCTAATGTGTTGGGGATCCTGGGGTTCTGCCTTACCAAGAGAGCAAAAGTAGCCTACACTCGCCTGTAGCTGATCGACCTAAGGCCCTAGTTTTCCCTGGTCACTAACCGGTGGTTATGTAGATTTTTACATGGAATCTGCTAGGTAGGATTTGGAGATTCATGGGACCAGTAAAAATAAAATTACATAGTATAGCTATTTCCAGTATGTTGATCTTAACTTTCATACGTCATAATATATACGTAGATTACAAAGTATATCGTAACAATAGCTTATCAGCATCCTTGAGTAAGAAAAGGAAACCAAGACAAATAACAATTAGAAGATTTGTTTGAAATCATGCACTGAATGACAACAACAAAAAATGTGGAGTCTTTTTGTACTCACAGTTCAAGCTGAAGTCTCCATACCCTGAACACAAATAAACTCCCTTGGTCTGTTCCATGTGAAAGCCATTGCACTGTGTCGAGATCAGCTGGATTATCCTCTCCTGAAGTTGCATACAAATCCAACCCAGTTTTTGGCAGCAGGCATCACTGACACATCCCCAGGCCTAAAAGATGAAGAATAGTGGTGAAGCATATTATTCTCACCTGTGTCAGGAGTGTACAAGTTCCTAGGAGCAGAATTCTGTCTTCTAAGTACCGTTTGAGTGAGTCTTGGTAATCTAGGACTCGTGGGCTTTCAGGAAGCTTGAGCCCTGGCCCAACCTTGATTCTACATGGCTTCAAAGAAGGTCCTCATGACTCTAGATGTCATATTTATGGCCTTCACAATGGCATTGCTCTCAGGTTATGCCCTGCTTATAGCATAACTTCTGGTATTCTAAGGCAAGGAGTTCTTGTAATGAAAATATGCAGTGCCATTATTGTTCCCCTCAGAATTCTACCTTCAAAGACTCCAAATCTCTCCTTAGTGAATGGTGCTAAGGGAAAAATAAAAGACTGGGATCCCTGGGGAGCTGTAACTATAGAGAAGGAACAAAGTGGATAAAGATCAGCTAAAGGGGTGGGAGATGCTGCCTGCATCTTTCTGGGCTCAGCTTATAGCTTTTCAGATACAAAGTGGAAGAAAAGTTGGCCACTGTGGCCAGATGTCTAAATTGGTCATAGCTGTACATCTTGGATAATCCCTCCTACAATATCAGATGGAATCCCAGACTCTAAACTTCACTTTTCTACTGCCATCCTACTCCATGCCTTTTCCAAAAATGGGGAACGCTGATCAGTATTTTATGCAATGAGATTAGGGAAGCATCCGCTAGACTGCTTTAGCTCCCACATCCTTCATGAAGAAGACAATGACTTCTAGAGGGCTGGCCAGGTGGAGTGTCAGACCAGCAAGAGAGTTCTCCAGACAAGCACAAGCCAGAAATGAAGGAATAGTAATTTAGGAGTACATGGGCCTAGGAGGTCATATGTGTCATAGATAGATCAGTTCAAGCAAAAGGAGCTTTGAAATGAGCATGGTCAGCCTCTTTGGAATCTGGTTAGGAGGCCAGGGTCCAGGGCCTTCCATTTGCCAAGGCTTTGTCTCCCTGGCTTGTATCTTGGGTATTGCCTCAATCTTGCCTTTCCTGCTAGGTGAGTTTTCTTTAGAAAAGACTAGACCCTTCTGCTCTCATCATCAGGGCCAGAACTCCTCTCTAGGCCGGTGTTTGGGAGGGTTAGCCCTTAGTAACAGCTGTTGAGAAGAGGAAGGGAGTGGGGACCACACTTCCTCAGCTGTTCAGCAGACCAACTGTGTGTTTCACCATCTTGTGCTCCCATCAGAAAGGTAAAGTAAAGGAAGCTGCCCAGCGCTACCAGTACGCCCTGAAGAAGTTCCCTAGAGAAGGGTTTGGTGAGGACTTGAAAACTTTCCGGGAACTAAAGGTGTCTCTCCTCCTCAACCTGTCTCGGTGTCGCAGGAAAATGAATGTAAGTCCCTGTCACCCCAACTCCTTTTTGCAGTCCTGGAAGCTGATAGCCCATGTCACTCACTAGCTTTTACCAGGCCCCCAAAATCCTCCTCTGCCCCATTTGGAACTTGGTTGTCCTTCACAGAGCACTGACATTTGCAATTTGAAAGAAATCAAGTCTAAGTACAATCTGTATCTCAAACTGTAAAGAAGTCAATGCTGCGAGTACTTTGCAGCTTTCTGAATGTTCATAATTTCACTGAAAATGACGAGAATACCATCTTCCCCACCCCCATACCACCAAATCAGTGTTCTGGTCTTCGGGAAAATGTGAGAGCAGTGGCCACTAGAATTCCAGTTGCAATTAGATAGGAGTTTAGTCACTACTTTCAGTATATTCTCTTGTCATTTGAAGAAGGGCTAAGAAGAGGGTTGGGGACCATGGTCTTGAAGGTTAATTTCTGAGGCTATTCTTGAACTTTTTGCCTCTTTCCTCATCTTTGTATCCCAGCACACCATGTCCCTTCTTGCCCTAGAGGAAATCTCAGAACTCCCCCTGGACCTTTATCATCTCCCTGGTAGGCTTCGGTCCTTCCTGCCTGCCTTACAGACCCATCTCAGATGCCTTCAGCCCCTGCCCCTTCACATAAAGACACTCCAAGCCAAGAACCCGCGCTCAGATTTTGGAAATAGCTAAGATTGTGTCAGGAGTCTCTGACATCCACCAGCCTGAGGTCTCATAGTTCTTCAGGAGATAAAAATAATCCAAGCCAAACAGATGTCTTGATCAATTAAAAACTCAGCTGGAAAGAAACAAGATTTAAACCTCATGGCCAAAGGTCTTCCAGAAAGATGATTTGTGTGCCTTTAGATTATCCAATCCAGACCCTAAACCCTGATGTTGGAAGGAGCCCGAGATAAACCTGTCTGTCTCAGAGAACACATCCATAGCCCTCAGGCAGAGTTGTCCCAGGGTGCTGAGGGAAGTGGGGACGTGGGGCCCCCTGGGGAAGGGAGAGGGTGGTAGTCTTGGGAGACAGTGAGGTTCTCATGCCCATAGGGTCTCCCGTAAAATGGAAGGAACAGCACCAAGGCCTCCCCTGGCACCCGCTGGTGAGGACGAGGCACAGCTCAGAAGTTGCTGCCAACCCACTGATCTCTTTCCCCTACCAAATAACAGACTTTTTAAAAATACCCTCATATTCTCAGGAATAACGATGGTCCCAAAAGAACAAATAAAAGGGTAAGGCTGGAAGCAGAGCAGGGACAGAAGGTGACCCATAGAAGATGAAATTCTTTCTAGCTCCACATTTCTTCAGAAGCGGCTAATATCACCTCCTGGGCCAACATTGCACCCAGCACCAGACGTCTGTCTTCTTAGGTAGAGGATTTCCCATCAACTTTGTAAATTTTTTTTACCTATGCCCCAGGGCCTTTGTTCTGCCCAAGGCCTTGTTTTCTGCCTTAGGAATCATGACTGTAACCAGAGGCTACCAGTACATGCTGTACTGTGGCTTTGACACTAAAAGAAGGGGAAAACCTTCCCATTTAGCTTAGTATTTAAGGGAATACTAAAAACCATAGACTCTGCCTAATCAGCACTGTTCCCCACCCCATGGTCTCTGTTCCCAAGGTCCCAAAGTAAGGATAGCATCCCTGTGAACATCTTCCTCCAGGGATAGCACAGACCTAAGTCACAGCTGGGGCCTTCTCTTGTTTTGTTTTTAAGTGTTTCCTAAGTAAGGAACCGGTTAAGAAAAGGAACAGAGCAGAGAAGCCTCTGTGAAATAGAAAGGGATAATTAATGAGCACCTATGTGCCAGGAACTGTGCAATGCTTTTAAATGCTGTATCACACTTGATCCTGCCTCTGGAGTAGGTATAGACAAGAAAATACACAATACGCCCAGGAGTTACGAAGCCAGTCAGAGAATTGAACTCACGCCTGTCTGACACCCCCTCTCCCTCTAGTTTTCCTTTACAGATGTCATCCTCCCGGACTTCACAGGACACCTTCTCACTTGTCCCCTAGAAAGCCAAAGTGCAGTGCGTGTAGCACGAAGGTGTGGGGCTCAGACGAGGGTCCATACGAGGTGTGGACATGGGTGTGTTTGCCTCCTACATGTGTGGATAACTTCAGGAGCTTCACTGGAAAGGGTTGGCGTTTGGCTTCCAGGCTGAGAACTTCATTAGAAAGGCAAAAGGAGGGAAAATTAAAACTACTTTAATATTCCGGGCAGATAAAGACCAGTGAAAAGTCGCAGGGCTACACAGGGCAAAAGCAAAAGGAACTTTCAGCCCACAGGCCCCGCGGCTAGAGCCATGTCAGGCCCATCTAGCGTCCCAGGTGTTCCATCCATAAATGTCAAAAAAAAATGTACAAATAATTTGTTTTATTCCCAAGTTGTCTATTTTTTATGTCATCAATGACTCATTTGCACACCTATTGTAATGACAGGATTTTGGAATGGCGGAGGAATTTGCTACTAAGGCCCTGGAGCTGAAACCGAAATCTTATGAAGCTTACTATGCGAGAGCAAGGGCAAAACGCAGCAGCAGGTGAGGAGAGAGAGAGAGGGTGAAAGCAAGAGGTCTCTTCTCTGAAAATTTGGCCAAGGCAGTGTCGGCCACCCTGGGGCATATGTACCCAAACCCATCTCTGTCCTTGAGAACGCTCAGGGCCAGGCTTCGGGGATGGCTGCAACAGTCCAGCCCTCAGCTAGAGATCGGCCAGTCTGCTGGGCTGTGGAGACCACAGATGTTTCCCTTTGGGAGAAAAACACTTTTTCACTGGAGAATGGCAGCTTCTTCCAGGAGGCCTCTGCCATGTCTCAGGCACTTTCCAGCCCCCAAAACAGCTAGCTTAAAGAGACAGTGGTGACTGAAAGAAGTCACTGAAGCAGAACATCCCACCACCCCTTTCAGAGGGAAAAGTAGGATGGGTCACTTAACATCACAGGCTCCTCTTCCTTTTCCTTTAGGCACTTGGGGAATCCCGGATTATTTAGTCTTCCTTCTGGGGCTCTCCTCAAGTCTGGTGGCATCAGACCTCCTTCTCACCTAAATCATCATCACACCACACACACACACACACACGGAGTCAGGAGGTCCCTGCTGCCAGGATTGAGAGGACCCAAGAGAACACCATTCCACGTTCCTCATGCCCATCTGCTGTAGTTTGGATACTGGGTAGGAAAGCTCCCCAGAAGATCCTAGAACCTGCTGTCAGTTATCTTTGTCACTGTCTCTTATGCCTCCTGCCCCCACCCTCCTCCTCCCTAGCTGCATGGCAAAGAACTGCTTCAGGTTCACTGCTGTGACCAGGGGCATACGGTCCTGAATATCCCACCCAGGATGAGGCTAGCGATGGTGGCCGCAGTCGCACTCTTATCTAGCTGGGGTAACAAAGTCCTCACAGATGCCTGACTCAAATTCTCTTTCCCTCTGGATCTTTCCTTTTTCACAAGGCCAGTTGTGCCTCTCAGGTGATATTAGTAGAGAAGATGGGAATGTCTCTGACAGTTCATTTCTTCATTGGTAAATTATTAGAGGCTCCTTGGAGTCAGCTCAGCTCCAGCCCCGAGTGGCCTAGTCAGCAAGCCTAATGCCTGCCCCACTTTGATAGCGCAAATGGAGATGCTGCAGTTCTGTGGG